ACCTGCTTCTCCTTCCGGGGGTTCCTGGCCATCAACCACCTGCTTATTCTTCAGGATCCAACCCAAGTGACCCCATCTATGTGACACCTGCTCCTTACATGTTTGCCCATCTGTACCCCAAATTAAATGTAAAGTGTGGGGCTCTCCCTGATGGTGCAACAGGTTAAAGCACCACACTATGAAGCTCTCAGAAGCCACTGCAGCACAAGTTTGATCCCCGGCCCCGGAGGTGACCTACATGGCACGGCAGGAGGCAGACCTCTCCTGACACGCCCACTGCTCCCCTCAGCAGTGCCCTTCAGTACATCTGCCCGTTCTGCTCCCCACTCTTAAGCATAAATAAATAAATCTTTAAATAAATTAACCTTTAAATGAATAAGTAAATAAAATGTAAATTGTCGTCTCTGTGCTCCTGGCCAGACTCAGCATTTCCTGACAATTGAGGTCATTTTGAATTCATCTTCACAGCCACCTGCTGCAAACCTAGTAAGTGCTCAGTCAATATTTGTTCAAAGAAAGGAGGGATTACCAGTGAAAAGTAGAGTAAAAACGTACAGCAAACAGGAGTTGCTGGAATTGTCATCCCGAAATACGGCCACTAGTTTGAGTGACAAGGAGCATGATAAATTATTTAGGCAAAGCTAAGCCTTGTTCCTGATCCATTGTGTTGAAAGGCAAGTCGGAGTGTAGCATATTTTTAGAACGGTTTTGATAAAAGCTATAGAAGTCAGTTATTTGAAACACCTCACCTGAGTTAATATTTAATAGATAGGGAGCTACCATCAACATTACTTACTCAGTGTCTGAACTAAAAGGAATTGACATTTCTAAGACAGAAACTCTAGCCCATCACTTCAAGTTTGGCCTCCCCTCTTGGGCCTAGAGTGGAGAGGAGGCATCTTGTCCTCCGAGGAGGCAGCGCTGGGTGTGTCCCTTAGGGCAGGAACAGACGTGACCGGCGCAGCAGCCAAAACCTAACCAGCAAAACAAGCTGCAACAGCTGACACAAAGAAGGTCCCTCTCCCAGGGGGAGATTGTGTTTTCTTTCCACAATTTTATTTACTATTTAGTCCTATAAAAATATATGGTGCTTTCGAAATGTTTATTAGCAGCCATAATATTTGTCCAAACAAATAAGCTATTTGTGTTCAACTTGTCAAAAGACAAGTTGAAGGGAGAGCTGAAGGAGAGCAAGTGAACAGTCCGACACATTCCAAACCCACCCCACGGCAGCACATTAGAACATGGTAAAACCGGTGATAAAACCCATTGTCTCATGTTTTCTGGGCATCTTCCAGGTGTTCAGCACCCTTGTCTAAAGTATCGGCTCATTTTAGTTCAGCAATAAGCCTGTCTTCCTAAGAGAAACACAAACATTGTGTCTCATGCCCACTCCCATTAAATATTCTGTGGCGCGATGCTAGGAAGGAATTGCCTCTTTGCTGACCATGTTACTTCAGTTCAGTCCCCCCCCACCACACACACGCACACACACACCTTCACCTCTTCACCCTGATTTCCACAGCAGGTGGGATGACAGAGCGAGCGGCTGCGCAGGGTCAAGGAAGTGACACAGCTGGCGAAGTCCCCAGCACACTGTCCCCACCTTCATGACCTTCAGGGCTAACACCCTGCTTTTCAAAGTCACAGCCACAGGCAGCTTCATGGCTGCTGTGCAAAGCAACTCCAGTGCTTAAAACCTGCCCACTGCCACCACTTGGGAGGAAGGACTGCTTGAGTCTTCAATAGACTGTCAGGCCCAGACAAACGATGCCAAGGCAGGCTAGCGACATCTGAGACAAGGCGCACACCCGAGTTCCCCACCTAAAGGCACAGTTGGGATGGTGAGAAGAGGAGCCAGGGTCAGAATGAGACCCAGAGGCTCCACAGCCACTCTCCCACACCCCCAAGCATCGCCGCGACGTGCTCCAAGGAGAGCCCCAAGCTTAGCGCAATTGGGACTGGTAGTGCTGGGCTGGGCTGGCCATTCGCAGAGACTCCAGATGTAGGGTGGACCATATTTCAGTGAAGAATAAAATTCAGCGATCAAACCTTTCATTCCAACTCTATGACAAGAAAACTAGGAAGACAAGCGCGAAAAGGCATCACCCATAACCCCTCCCTTTGCACCATAGTCTGAGACAATCTAGCATGAGAACATTCTGGCAGGTGGAACTCACGTGGTGCCAGATGTGGGCAATGTCCAGTGGTCCCTCCCCCTGGCATGAAGCCAGAGCCCTTCTCTCCAGAGCTTCTCTGCTCTTTCCCGAGGAGCTGGTGCATACTTATTTGCAGGGGTGTCTTCAAACAACCGAAACACAGCAGTCTTGTTTTGGTTTGGTTTTTGTTTTTGCTGAATTTGAGAAGTTGGGAGTTCAGCTCGCCAAGACCTGCTAGGTAGAGGAGCTGGGAGGTGCTGTGAGACCACCCCCCACCCCCCACCCCCCGCTGCCAGTCTTCACCCATTGTCCAGGCTCCCTCACCTATAGACTCCCAGGCTGGCCAGGTGGGTCGATGGGCAGCACTAAGCAGACGTGGACACTGATGGTCCCACTCACCCATGCCCGTGGAGGTGCCTAGCAAAGGCTACACATCCTCTAAGTCGCCAGGCCTTGGCCCACTCTGAGAACCCAGCAGAGGCCTTAGCACTGCCCAGAATGGCCCCAGCTTCTGGTTTCCTGAACCCCAATATTCCCGGGCCCGGGAATGGCGCATTGCATTCTTTTCACCCTCGTCTCTGGATGGCCTTGAGGGCCAGTGACACCAATTCCCTGTATTCAGTCCCTCTGTCCAAACTCCCTAGAGCAGTTTTTGACTCCTGGGATCAACCTTTCTACTTCATGAGTCCTCTCTGTGATACTGTTCTCGGCTGGCTTTACAAGCTTTGCTTCAGTGCCCCATAGACATGGAAGCATTATTTCACAGGGCTCCATAATTCTAATGGCTATAAAATTGTTTCCTTGGGTTGCTGAAGTATGTCTCCCACTTACCCTTGGTCCTTTAGCTTCCAAGGTACCCTTCTAGCTCTCTGCAGCCCCATCACCCACAGGGGTCCCCTGGTGCAATGGCATGATTAGGGTCTGGTTGGAAGGGTAACTAGAGGTGCCCGTCTGAAATCCCACCATTTCTGAGTCGTTCCCTGAGGTTAAAACACTTCAGAAAGCATCACACCAGCAGAGAGTCCAGGAGTTGCTGTCACCTGCAAAACCTTCCCAGGAACTCAACCTACTTCTTTCCTTCCAACTGTTGGTTGACAGTCAGGCCAGGCAGGTTCACTCTTACGACTGGAAAGTGAATTTGGGGGCCTCTGGCATCATCCTCACAGGTTTTAATGGTGAGCAGGGGAAACAAGCACCTCAGCCTCCTTCCCCGGGCACAGGTGGGCACACTTACACACCTGTGCTCAGGTGTCCGTAATCAGGCACTCAAACCCCCCCCCACACACACCTTCTATGCTAACAAGATCAAGGCCGCAGGTGCTAGCCATGGAGGCCAATGGTTCAAACAGCCTGAGCAACTCTCTTTGCCCTGCAGTCTTGGTGCAACAGGGACGGTGCTGCTGGAGCAGCCAGCTTGAGAGAAGCAGCCTGGGAAAGCGGCCCCGGCTGGCGTCTGAGTGGCAGGAGGGGAGCCAGGTCCTGGGGCGAGAACATGAGGTGTGGCAAGGAGAGAGGACCTGCACCAGGACAGCACCCGCTGCCCCTGCTCTGCCGGGCCCTGCTTCTCCTGGGTGCAGGGCCTGTCTTCCCTTCCTCTGCACTCAGGTACACTCACCTTCACCGCAGCAAGGAAAAAAAGGGAGAAAGCCCACGAAATTACTACTTGCTCTATGTGAACAGTTGCTGCAGTTTCTACATATCTCATTGGTAAGCAGCCTACAGCTCAAGAAGATATTTTATCCAGCTGCCCTCTTCCCCGAAAGTAAACAGATAATAAAATAAATCTAATCAGCATTCCTTTTCACTTAGCTGAAATTAAATTTTACTCATCACGGGTAAGTGGCTAATTACATGTTTAGTGTAAAGAAAATTCCGAGGACATTACCTTATTTACTTTCTTCTGTGTCAATAGATGAGAGGACATTGGCATTCAGAGGTAGGTGGGATCAGCTGGCTGCTGGTGTCAACTTACCTTGGATGGCCTGAATTCAGAAAGCAAAGCAAACAAGAGATACTGCAATGAAATTGCCTTCACCCGGGAGTCCAGCAGCTGCCCACTGGTGATGGCAAGTGCTGAGGAAATTGCTTCCCAGATGAACCGACCTCCGCGTCAGAGAATTTGAGAGAAATGAAGGGGGAGACCAAAAGTTCTTGAGTGACTATTATGGGACCATCACCTTTCCTGTGTCCACATCTTTGTGTATGTGTGTGTGTACATACATATATATACAGTGTATAAATATATACATATATGTACATACATGTGTGTGCATGTGTAAATATGTGTGTGCATTGCATCATTCTTCATTTTTAGACAATCCATCATGTATGGAATGTTGGGGTGCAAGTATCAATGCATCAGCTCATGTATGGTCCCCAAGGAATTCCCACCACCAATTCACCTGGGCAGCATCGCCGTAGTCCCTTGCTCTCCCCACCCGTCGCGACCCAAGTTCCTCTCCTTCACCCACCAAATTATTTCTTATGTCCAGTCTTCCTCCCAGCCCCACAAGAAGAGCAGAACATTCGCAGCCATTTCGCAGTGGGTAAAAACGACTTTCAAAGACGCAGCGTCCCCCGCGCCAGTCAGGAAGCGCGCAGGTGGGCGGCAGGAGAGCCAGAGCTCACCTGCAAGGACATGCGGTGAATGGTGACACTGCCTATGTGGCAAAAGGGGCGCCTTTCCTGACACATCACCCCTACTCGTTCGCACACTACGTGCACCCCAACATTCCAAGGCCCTAGATCAGTACTGAAAGATTCCCTTGAAGGAAACTCAACGCAATCACAACCCGGGTCACCCCTCACCTGCTTGAACGTCCTCATTGGCCTCGTCCCAAGGCAACATCTGGCTCCGCAGCCACCTTCCGCGTGACAGTCCTCGCAGATGGCGGGCTGCTCCTCAGAGCTGTCACTCGCGCAGCCTTGCGGCTAGAGCGTGGCGGCACACGCCACCATGGCAGAGACGCCTCCCGCGAGGCGCGCAGGGAACGAGGCGGGCTGCACACCCGCAGGCTTGTTAATGAGAGCTGTGTGTTCAACTCCCCAAGCTCTGAGTGAGACCTGAGGGTATTCTTTTATAACTCGGGAGAAACAGAAATGCAAATAATTTCATACAAACACAACTGTGTTGAATTAGTAATGCTCAAATGAGTCTGTGCACAATTATTCCAGTGTCTGATCATTACTAATCGAAGCTCCTGTTTATGTCATTGCATTTTACTTCTAATACACGCCATGTCAGTCTCTGAAAAAGGAACTTTTGTACTTTCTTCCCATTCACCCTGGGGTTTTCTACAACCTAAGTCTTAGTCAACATCCTACGGGGTTTCAAATTAAAATTATTCTCTTCTATAACAGTTTTAAATGTTATCTGAAGATAGAGTTCAGTAAAATCTGCTTCAACCTACAGACCTAAAAGTGGTCACGGGTAACATCAAAGATAATAAGTGAAAAGAAACAAGTCAAATGGCACCATCTAGGTGACAGCTGAAAGTATGGAGGGAAAGTATGTTCCCTCTGTTATGAAAAACTCATCATTAAAATGATTGCTCAGCTATAAATGTTCTCATCAAAATGTGACCCCGCAGAGTTCCTCCCAGATTTAGCAGGGAGGGATGGAGGACATCGTGTTTTTATTTATCGTGACCAGGGAGACAGGTGAGTTAAGTTAGAGCACACGGAAACCACAAGTCATCAACGTCGACGGCTTCTTCCCTCTCTGGGGAATAAGCAAGAGACCTCGTCCCTCCTTGTTATGTTTCTGGAGTCCAGACAGGGACATAGGAAGAAAAGATGTCCCTGAGCCACCAAAATTCAGACTGCAAGAAAATCATAGCCAGATCCTATGAAAATCACATTCTTATGAATGACTGAACTTGAGGGCAGCAGGTGAGTGGAAGAGTGAGTGCTTTGGGTGTTCCAAACTGAAACTGCAATTTCAGAGATTGCAAAATATAATTTACATCTTGTTGCCTGAGACCTCAAAAATTTTATAGCAAAGTCCCGGTGCAGGGGGTGGAAATGGCCCACAGACTCCAGCTTTCCTCTGCATTTCTGTTCTCACACCGCGGGGACTCATCCTCCCGTTCCATCGGCGCCTCTTCTTGCCTGTAAACCCCTATGCAAAAGACACCTTCCCACAGGCAGCCCTTTGAGTTTCTTCCAAATATGATTTAATAGTTAGTGGAAGTAGAAGTAGTCTCTCATCCTCCTCAGTTGTCTATTTTCTTAAGCCTTACCATACTGAATTGTGCATGATTATTTAAAGTCATATAGAAGTCATCTCTTAACTTACGAAACACTTGTTTTTTCCCCCTCTCACATTTCATGAAACAGTACTTCACAGACCCCACACATCCTTCTGTGGCAGTTAGGGCCAAAGCAGCATCCTCCCCTTTCCACCAGCCGCGGTATGGAAACAGAGCACTTTTAGAATCTGCGTCCAGAAAATCAAAGCAGTACCTGCAAAGGTTTGGCTAACCAAAAAAAACCAAAAAACGCAAGGAAAACGGCCCTTTTAATCAACCCCGAAAGAAACCCCAAAAAAATCAACAAAAAAAAATAAAGGGGCAAACCCCAATTCCTACTTTACTCTTGTGACTGCTCCATGTTCGGCTCCTTGGATAGAGGCATTAGAGACTTGAGCCTGGATGGGTAGCAGTGGCTGCCAGTCTCCTGGAATCACCCCTCTTTAACCAGCCTGGGGTACCAGCTCCAGCTGGCAGGTTCCTCTGATCAACATCTGCATTTCTGCTCCCAAGGCCCCTCCTCCAGCAGCCTGAGGTATCTCACCTGTCAGGGGTCCCTTCCCCCTGGGGTACTCCCCATTTTAGCCTGAAAGTCTAAAACCCCTGGCAAACCAGGCTGGTGCTGGCCTCCTCCCAGAGGCCAGGCTTGCTGTGCAGAGCCCACCATAGGTCTGGCTCCTTCAATCCCCCTGGTTCGAGGAGTGTCAGATGCTTCATGAAATTGCCTGAGTGTTTCCCTTTCAGTTGCCCATTATCCCTGTAACCAAACCCCTCTATTAAATTCTCTCTTTAAACACGGCGGTTACATCAGCTTCTCGAAGTGGGTTTTAAAAGCACCTGAAGTGGATCGAACATGATGACTTAATGGCAGATGCAGCAAGCTGGCACTTGGGGCCATAAACGGAGGTACCTGGCCAAAACTAGGGGCTGGGTGTCTACTTGAAGTCAAGATAGAAGAAGCAAGTATAGAACAACAGGCTGTCGCTATCTGCCTCTGGGATACAATGTTCCAGCCTGAAAACGAGGAGTCCTTTCTTCCATCTTCCTTCATAATTCGTAATACAAAGCCACAACACCTCACACACCTACTTCACTAAGCCAAATTTGTGCTATTATCACAGTCACGTGCCAAACAATATGACCCTTAAAAGATGTGTTAATGATGTATTACATTTATGATGAGGGAACATCTTATTATTGTAGAGATTGATTTACCTATGCAAATAAGCGCTGGAGGTGTAAGCCAGAGCTGCGGAGAGGTGAGAGGATTAGAGACAGAGTCGGGGTCAGAACAGCTGAGTCCACTGAAATCCAAGGAGCAGCCTTCCAGCTCTGAACATGAGTCTTATCTGCAAAGAAGTGGAGAAACCAGGTGTCCACGCAGGGCAGACGCTCCAGTGCTAACATCCTACTCTCTGTTCCCCACTTCTGAAACGAAAGTGGTTTTCTTGTGCCTGACGGCCTTTGAAGAAGTAATTGCTAGAAATGAAGGCGTAAGTTTGGAAGACATTACCTACTGCCCTGAAAACAAAAGCCAGGTGAGGACAGCCTCGGCGAACATGGGGGAGATGGACATGATGTGGCCCAGAGATTTAGGAGCCCACAGCAGGGACGGTAGTTTCTCTGCCACCACAGAGGCACCAAGAATGGTCACCAGCTTGGGCTTCCCCAAAAGCAAGGCCAATGGCAAGAGCAGCAGAAAGCAGGATGAGGGCGACAAAGAGGACCCTGAGGCCTGGGTGTGCTCTGAACAGGTTTTCAGAGATGCTCATTAGTCTCACTCAAAGCTTCAGAGTAAAACCAGTGACCAAGCTGTAGGCTGCGACAGGACAGAGCCCTGGGAGAGGCCCGAGAGGCCGCAGAGGTGGAGACGCCTGAGCAGGGAAGCAGGGGGCTCCTTAGGGTGTTCCTTGCTGGGCCCCCCTAAGAGGCACATCCACGCTCCTCCTGCCTCCAGGCTAACTGGAACGACCCTCGCTCCCTCTTTTCAAGTCCAGGAGCTGTTATAGTTTCAACAGTTTTCCCAAAATGAGAAAGCGTGCAAGCTGCCCGAAGCACTGAGGCCCACAGCAGGGGAGCGTGGGGCAGGGTTTAAGCAGGGGAGAGAGAGCTGGGGGGAGGGGGTGGCGGGGAAGAGGGGCTGGTGACGGCGCTGCGGTGGGGGGAGAACTACCGGGACCGCACCTGCGGGGGGCTAACACTGTCCAGAAATGAACAGTGATGTAAGAAAATAAAGAAGATTAGGTTAAAAAATAAGCAAATAGGGCCCTCCCTGCTGGCGCAGCGGGTTAAACCACAGCACTGAGAAGCTAAAGCCACTTCGGCATGAGTTCGATCCCCACCCCGGAGGTGACCCCATGGCGGGCAGACCTCTCCCGACCCGCCCGCTGCTCCCCTCAGCAGCGTGCTTTGTCAGTCGACCTGTTCTGCTCCCCACTCTGTCTCTGGTGAATCCTCTCACTGCCCTGGCACCTCTGGCCTGTACCCCGGTCTGTGTGCATAAATAAATAAATCGTTAAAAAAAAATAAGCAAATAAATGTGAAAGACTCTGCCCAGGCCCATTAGACCTTATCAGTATAGGGTATAATGTGACAGACCCAGCCAGACAGTGGGTGGCAGAGACACAGCTGTGCTCCCGGGAGACACCCAGACAGAGCCGAGGCCAGCCCCGAGACCCGTGGGGGAGTCACAGGCCGGCCCCTCCATCTGGAAGTTTCTCAAGGTATCTCTGATGGAAACAGCTTCCTGGGTTCTCTCATTACATCCCTGCAAGAGTGCAGATAGCCCCCGGATTTTCTCAGTCTCCACTTCTGCATCTTCATTCCCAACTCTGTGGAGACCGAGGACTCAGATGAGGACTATTGATCCTTATTTTCCAGTAACTGTCAGAACACATCAGCCACACGCACAGCCCAACCAGGCCATCAGGAACAAGAACTCTTCCCCCAGGCAACACTGTCCATTGAGGGGACCCCCACCTGGACCCCACACAGCCACCACCTCCTTTCCTGGGCTTTTACAAAGGTCTTTTAATTAGATGAGAAACCTAGAATCCTGGATTTGTCTCTCCCAACAATTTTTAAAAGCACCATGTATTTCAAAAAAGACCTTTAACGTCTTTCATCTTCAAAGAAGCACCCAATTATGTTATCATTTATCTGAAACTTTCAATTATTCCTGGGACTGGTTCGCTTTCTGTCTCCTCTCCGCTCATATGATTCACAGTCCCTGCGAGGGTCTTAGACGTATGTTCTGCATTACAAAATAGGTCACTGGTGCACTCTGCCTGGCTCCCACAGCAGGAAAAAACACTTATTTCAAATGTAAGCAACCATGAACTTCTGATTTGAAAGACACACCTTCAGAGGTTCCTGTTATGTGTGTGAAAAATCAGGGCGCTGCTGAGCTGAGCCCTGAACCCCACAGTGGACCAGACCCTAAGCCCTACAGTCTCACACAGACCCGGCCCGTTTCCCACACCATTTGCATTTTTCTTTTGGTTCCTGATGGAGTCACTGGATGCACAAGGAGACAAGTGTCTCCCTGCCTTGAAAACCTATGAAAATCTGGAAGAACTTGAAAGGTTTCTTGCAGATTATCCATCCAGTGCATTACGGTGGACAACAGCCTTCTCCAACCACTCAGCATTCCCCTGTGGATTTTACCCCTCAGCCTTTACCCACAGCAGTTAGAAGCCCTCCTAGACCTGTGCCTGTGAAGTCAGGGGGTCACAAGGAAGGTAAAAGGAAGCCACCAGACATACAGGTTTACAGAGAAGTCACACCCAGCAGCAGCATCATGCAGGGACC